CTGAAATACCTCCAAGATTAGCCGTTTCCTCTTTTTTAACTGACCTAGAAAAATGGTTCAGGCTTTTGGTTCCCCAGTACTGTTTACTGCAATGCCCTACTAAGAGGCTGTCCTGCTCCACGCTCATTCAGCTTGTTAGCCTGAAAACTCATCATCCAGAAAACACGATCCCGCGACCTCAACCTACTCTAGAGATGCCACCGTCGGCTCTGACGAGTGTCTTCAAAGCTCAAATATACAACCATAAAATAACCCACCCTATAGGATTATATATAAGACAGCACTAATTTTCTAAATTTGAAAGAAAAACTACGCCAACTTCACTTGTCCTAGAAGGCACCCGTCGATGTGGAGACAGGCACCAATTTCAGACAACTCCTTATTAAAATGCACAATGGGGATTTTAACCCAGCCTACTATTCACATATTTTCCTTGTACAGCAGTTTCTCTTGTCTTGTGTTATTTCTTCCTCTGCTTAAAGGAACCGAAAAAGCTCAGAGTGCTGATCTATGACCAACATTTGATTCATGCAATGCTACACAATACCTTTGAAGACAGAATTTAGTAGATAGTGTAGGAGGAGATTACTGGAGTATAAAAAAAAAAAGAGATGTTAATCTCCATAAAGTTGCTATCTGAACTGGACCCTTGCAATGTATGCACAACAATGCAAACACAACACTTTAAGCAGTTCACTGGTACAGACAAGATGCAAGCAAGCGAGAGGAACAAAAAGAGCGTCGGCACTACATATGCAAAAGATGTCCTATAAACACATTTGCAATGCAGATATTCAGACACTTGACTTTCGACGTCAGTTCCATTGTGGGATGCCTTTTGACGGCTTAAGCCTGATCATCTTTTCAGACTAGGCTGTGGAAAATCTTGAAAGGAAGTACTTGGAGCCGTTATGCAGCTTTCATGGAGCAAGAAAACCCAGTGTAGCCTGGGGCCAAGATGAGTCCTTCTTGGGTAATGACCTAAAACTGACAAGACAATGAAGAAATTAAAATAATAATAATAATATGTTGATGCTGTGTTTCCCAGGCTGCTACTCCACATACACTGACAGCAAGACAAAGGTGCCAGCGTGTGTGAACCAGCACTGACCTAGCTAACTGCAGCTCTGACCAAAGCATTACCACAAGTGGGCTTCTGTGTCCTGTGGTGTTTTCTGTTGATTCATGCAACTGCCAAGTGGAGCATGTGAAGAGAATAAAAGACTGGATCTAGAACTGAGCTCTGAGAGACCCCAAAGGTGACATGTCCTGAAAAAGAGAAAGCACTGTCTTCTGTACTAATGCAACAGAGCCCTTCTCTCAAAGCAGGGAAACTGCTGTCTTTCTCATATTAATAATCATACTCACCAAGTGTCACATGCAAACATTAAATGAGTAATCACTTTTTTTAGGCTAGTTGTAGGAGGAACATTGATATGTCATTAACTTTTAGTTGACATGGCACAGTTGTTAGCATACGGGTACTTATTCACATATAAAAATTTCCTCTTATTTTGTTTTATTTGTGTCCATATAGTGAACATTGATCCCAGGAAACTCTTCTAGCACTTTATTTGGTGTCTGCCAACACATGAGCCAAGTGTCTGCTTTATTGCTTAATGTTATGTTCACGAGCTAGTTACTGCCTGCCACTGGATTTGGAGCAGGCTGTGTACAGTGGGACAGATGTGTTCTGTGGCAGCTGGAATGTGGCATGTGTGAAAAGGTGGCTGTGAGTGCAGGTGTATCAAAAGGCCTGCGATATGTTGAGAAAAAAAATGCAAAGAACGAGTCCCATATGGAAATGCAGTATTTTACATGTGAATTTGATGATCATTGAAAAGTTATGGGCCTAGAGTTTTTGTTTGAAAGATACAGAGTTGTCAGCAGATCTGCACTTTATGAATGTTCACTTTTGCTCTGTGGTTAATAAACAAGAGTTTGCAGATGAGTCTTCCATGCAAACTAAAGACAACTGTGGCAAACTGCTAGCAACCAAGGAAACGGCAAGGAGGTTTTTGGTGCAAAACCCTCTGTCACTTGGCAACCTTCAGCAACAACTCATCAATTGGCCAGGGAATGCACATTTTTCCCTAGCGATCGGTTGTTGACAGGGGGCACCTGAATGGTCTCAGTGAAACTGAGGGTATTAGCGATCGATATCACAATGTCTGCCTGCAATCTCCAGCAACTGGCAGGGGAATATTCCTGTAACAGTTGGTGGTTGCCAGGCTGTTGCCTCTGATCTCTAAGCCCGTGTGACTGGAGCCATGGATAACCAAGTCAGTGTGTTAACAAAGAGCCTCAAGCTTTTCCAAGACGTTTAGAGAAGATTTATCAAGATTTTGATGTGAGAGTGTTCCTTCTTTACAACAGTTTGTCAGCATGTTCATGTACTGAAATGATGCCAGCACTGTTTGCAAAATACAAAAGACACAGCTGTTGTATCAGCCTTACATGACAGTCACATAGCTCATAGAGCACATACTTATGGATATGCTTATTTAGATCGACATAGAAATAGCTCATGAAATGAACTGTGTTTGATCAGAAGCTACACTATCATTTCATCTGTCAAATAAGCAGTGTGTTCACACTGTAGCTCACATTATGTTGAAATAAATGTTGAAAGACCGCTGTTTGAACATCCAATCAATATGCTGAATATTTATATATTGCAGGGCAGCACGGTGGTTAGCACTGTTGCGGTACAGCAACAGCAAGAAGGTCCTGAATTCAATACCACCATCAGGCCGGGGTCTTTCTGTGTGGAGTTTGCATGTTCTCCCCGTGTTTGTGTGGATTCCCTCTGGGTACTCCGGCTTCCTCCCACCATCCAAAGACATGCAGCTTGTGGGGATAGGTTAATTGATTAATCCAAAATTGCCCATAGGTGTGAATGTGAGTGCGAATGGTTGTCTGTCTCTATGTGTTAGCCCTGCGACAGACTGGCGACCTGTCCAGGGTGTACCCCACGTCTCGCCCTATGACAGCTGGGATAGGCTCCAGCGCCCCCCGCGACCCTGAAAAGGATAAGCGAATGGGTGAATGGATTTATATATTGCCCTTGTTATGTATCCATGTATATTGTCATTTTGTTGCTTAAAAGAGAACAAATCAAGCAAACAAACAAAAAATTACAGCAAAAAGAACAACTGGACCGACCCCTGGATGTGGAAAGGTGTTTTTTCATCATTAGACCACAACCTTTTTTTGACTAGTGACACATCACTATGCCGGCACTATACAGTATATAAATGGGTAAGTGCATTATACACAAATAATTTGTAGTCTTTTCAGGTATCAAATTTGGGATTAGAAGTCATTTAACTACCATGATTACTACAGTGGCAACCCTATTTTAAACACTAATATAATGAAATTATTTATTACAGTTACAATAATTTCTAATTATTAAAAGTCAGGATTATCGCTCAGTCACAGTAGAATAAGAACAGGATGGCAATTTTCTCGTGACTACCAAAAGCCAGTGCCTGCCCAGTTATTGCATTACATTTTCGCATTTGACAATCAAAAGTAAGTAGCTGAAACAACCACAGTTGACTGCAGAGTTACTGAACAGGTAGCAACTGGTCTCCAAACAGTTGAGTCCCGACTCTGGAAACATTTGCAAATAACTGTTGTCTAATTTATAAATGTGGACAGATTTCCAACACATCTGAATCAATCTCAGACCCCATTCAACTGATAGAGAGATAGATTTATCCATCCTGAGACACCAAAGTTGCTTGAAAGAAAGCAAATGACTGCAAGTGGTTGCAGGCCTGGTCTTTGAATCTAAAGTATTGAGATTGCAAGCTGACTGCACATGATTGCAATAACTTTGGATTGATTTAGGCCATTAGAAAGGTGTGTGTTGACTCAGGGATTGCATAGCATAGGAAAATAAAGAAGCCACCAACCACGTAGACTAATATCATTTCTGACTTGCATGGCGGTACCTCTTTTGTCGTCGGTTGGCTGGTCTCCTCCTCTTTTTGTTCTTTTTTTCTTTTCACTAATTAATTAATTTTCTGATTCTTCCAACAAATCTCTTCTTTTGTGTACTAATACTGACATTTAATTACTTCATCTCATTTAATTATATTTCATTTACTTATCTAATTATATACAGATATACACCCACTCATTTTATTTGTGTCTTTGTTACCCGGCACACTTAACCATGACAACATGAATATTTATGTGTCTCTGTACTCTACAGTTGAGTTAGTTAACATAAAGAACATCTGTCATATACCATTAAGGAAGTAAAGCCGTTCACCTTTAACATCCTCTGTAACCGTCTTCACACAAGTTTATGACATCCTCAGGAGATCCTCATCGACTCGCGTTCGAGTCTGACAGTGTGAACACAAGCTGCTGTAGAGGAGCTACGCTTAGAGCCCCAGAACAGAGTGAAGCAGAGCTCCAGTGAGACCGAAACACTCAAAGTTTGGCAAAAACGCACTAATCTTGCTATGTCATGCAGGCTGTCAAGCCAGCTCTGTGCTCAGCCTCGGAAACAAACCCAGAGCTCAAGGCGGTCAATTAGAGCTGCATGATCAAATATGTCAAATGCTGTACAGGGTCTCAAGACAACGCATAAAAATTCTCAGGCAATCGCTGCTTAAAGAGGGTCATCTGAGGCTTTTAAAGGCTGTGTTTTACAGGGAGACCACTTTGACAAGGAACAGCACCATCCGAAAGTTGTCTGCTAGTATATAACATAAATATATGTACACAAAACCATTACTACTACTACTACTACTACTACTACTACTACTACTACTAATAATAATAATAATAAAAAATGCATGAATAGCTAAGACCAACAAATCCAACATCCTCTACAAGGACCTTGAAGCAAAGATGCTTACACAATCCAAATGCCACACTAAGCACCTCTGCCAAACAGTAACAGGTAAAGGGATGAAAGCCTTCTTAGGTTTGATGATTCTGATCAGAGTGAGGAGGAAGCTGAGGAAACTGATACTCACCATGTCTGTGTCTGAAACGGGTCCAAAACTCGTGACATAGATGTTTGTCCTCACTTCTGTTACGCTCTCTGAGGAAAGAGACAACGAGGACCAGAACACATTACGGTCATTACTCAGTCTGTACACAAAAAAAGCATTGCTGGAGCTCTGTCTTTGTTAAGCTGATTGTTTGTGTGCATGACAGTGAAGTTTGCTGGTTGGATTTTAACTAAGCTACCTTAGAAAAAGCCTAGAGTATTAAACGGTTAGAGAAACACCTCAATTTGAAGGAAAAAAATAAAACAAATGCAGAAGACTTATGCATGCTCAGGGAGGAATTTGTGTCCTCCTGGACGGCTTAATACCTGGATTCAAACTGTCTTTATGGATCATTTCATCAAATCCGTGTTCTTGTAGCACAGGCTGCTGGTTTAAGAACATAATGCTACACCAATAATATAAGACATTTTCTAAAATACACACAGCACTGGCTATAACAGTCCTAAGGATTTGGCCCAGGAGTTGTTGTTTGTTTTTTTTCCTTCTTCCTTGACCTCAATTCGGAGGCAAAATGTTGCTGCGAGCAGCTTCACAGATGCTTCTGAAAGTTATCCATTCAGTAAAACTACCATTTGTTTGGCTCAAGCTCGTTTTTGACCACTGAAGCATAAAATTTGCTTTGGGCCACGCCCAAGTCTGTATCTTCAGAGATGAGATTCCCTTTTGACCCAAAATGATTTTAGTCAGCCTTAAAGGACTACTGGCTCAGGAATAATATGCAGCAGCTTAACATTAAGCATTTTTAAACTCAGATAATGAACACATGTTTTGCAGTTACACACACATACAAACACTGAGTCTGATTCTGTCATAACTCTATAAGACTTTCTACTGTGTCTATTCCTAAGGAAGATGTATTTCTTCAGTTTTAATGACATGCATCCTTGCATGTTATGTAACAATAAAAGCCCCATAATTGCTTTTCTGTCATAATGATTTATAGATGATTCCTGAATTTGCAACACCGATCACACTGATCATTATACGGCATGCTAGTGCAGACCTTTAATTGTGATATGAATTATGCGATGTGGAAGGATTGTTTCCAAACACGTCACTAATGATTTTAACATCGCATTAAGTAGGGCATGAGATGAAAGTCATGACAGATCAAAATTTGCCCTCTTCAGTGTGGGCTGAATCAGCTCCTCTGGGGTAACCGTGTAAAGCAGGCCCTTGGGCCGCTGGCGAGACAAATAGCTGCTCCTGGTGGTGCAACGACTAGAGAGTGATGAGGCTTTTCTCCAAAAGTGAATGGATCCTCGCTCTAACTGTGTCCCAGATCTAAATGGCCACCCACAGGTGAGGTCTTTAATCCTTTAGCAAAGACCCCCCCCTTTCCATCCCAAGGGAGGAGATCCACTTCCACATTAATCATTTCTGTGACTCAAATAGCTCTCACAAATACACGATTATCACAACACCAAGTCAGCAGTTTGCATGGAAGACATAGGCAGGGGAACAGAATGATTTGCCCTGTTTCTGTTTACAACAAAGCACTGGAGCATAGGGCAGAGCTAATAGATGCTGCTGAAAATAAAATGAAATGGCATTTTTCCAGTTTCTGCCCAGTCTGCTTGTCTGAGATGGTCCCACATGACTGTTTTTTCAGAAGGCATGGGGTGGCCAGCAGGAGGAAGATTGGTGCTTTTCTTCTTGTGCAGGCAGCAGCTTTAGACATTAAAGCGTCCCTGCTATACAAAAGCGCGGCGCCTGGTCTGTGTGAAGGGCAGATGCTCCTAATCTAATCTGCAGATTTAAACCTGTGTCAAATAGTTTTACAATACTTTACATTTAAAATACATTTTAAAATATATCATAAAATGTTAAATTTAAAATTTATATATTTTATACATTCCATATTTTTGATGAATAAAGAAATAAGAGGATAATAAATGTCACCACCTTCCTGTCTATTAAATATCAAAGAGGATTTCAAATATGAAAAATTCAAACAGGTCCCCATTCTGTGCCTTCATAAAAAGTAATAAAGCTATGATACACCAGTGCATAAAGCAACTTTAGAAATGTGTACACATATGGCACCCTACTTACATACAAATAACTGACATATTTTAACCAATCAGAATCATTTCAGCTTCAGTCCTACTAATTTGCTTTGCTTAGTGACAATTTTCCTAAAGAACTGTGAGTAAAGAGGTGTTGATAGAATTGTGCTTTAACCTATAGGCAGTCACTTCTGTACAGAGAGACACCTGATCATCTGTTTTGCCTTTGGAGATGGGAATATAACACGAACAACCTATGTTTGGTTCCTTTTCCTGGTTACTGCCACAGAGCCCGAGTCATCCAGCATGGTGGGCCTGTTGCCCAGTAGGTATGCTCATGGCATGTGAATCAAGCAGTAGAGCAGAATTGGACATTCCAGCTGACTGGCTGAGAAATGGTAAAGCACGTTTGAGCATGTGGGCTTGCTGTTGTCCTTTAGGGCACGGATATTTGGATGAAATGGCATCAATTAGTGGGATTTCCACTGACGTGTGTGCTTATTTGCCATTTGGGCATGATTGAACAAAGATGTTCACCCAAGGGAACGCACTTTTCCACAAGAGTGATGTAAAAAAAAATGCTCCGTATTGTCCACTAGCAGTGCATAGTGTCAGTTTGGTTTCATGAAGCCAAAAACCTTCAGTTGAGAAGAAAATTGAAGTTTCAGCTACACTAGTCTAATATCTGATATTTACACCACAAAGAAAATGTCAGTAGTTTGTTTGAATATATACATTTAGAAAAGAGCAACATGAAAATTGCATAAGGATATATAAAATAACCTGCACCCTGTGCATGTTGGGCCAATGGCACCTGTAAGTATGTGTGCTGATGAACAGGAGTGTGCTACAGGCTTGGAAGTTTATAACCTTCATAAATATGTGTCAGGCACTGCTGCAGCAACTGCTGACTGTGTTGATAAGGGGCCAAATTAGCCTTCCGACCTCACCTAACCCACTTCCTCAAGCACCAGTTTGAGATGTAGAACATGACACATATCAGTTATGTAACAGTTTTTTTTAAAAGAAAAAAATATATCAATTCTATTTATAAATAAATGTGTCTCCTATACATCTGGACTGAACCACAGTGTTCAGTTGGATCAATAAGTGCCTCAGTGAAGCATAGAAATGCTGCTCCTTAGACCTGCTCTTTTGACTAAACATAGTCAAAAGACATACAGTAATTAAGATTATTTTTCGCCAACCCTAATAATGGCTAAAGAGCCATAAATATCTGACACCTTGTAACCCATGCATTTAAGTCACAAGTTAAATAGATGGATTCATGCTTCACACACCCCTTGATTACAAAAACGCCAATAATTCAACTTCAACATTTTCTTTAACAGGACTCATATTCTATTACACAACTATGTTAATAAATTTTGCACTATAGCACTTTTTTCCCACTCCCTTAGGAAGATGTAAGTAATTCTATTCTGAAATGAAACAACATAAACTCCTGATATTTAAATTAAATGCGACTGTTACGCTTTATTCTACTGTACGCAATGATTCACGCATCAGGACGACAGCTTGAGGTTTACATCAAAGTTCTGTCTTTGCACAGTAAACATCACTCTGCAAAACACGATGATAATTTGCTACTTAAATCCAGAACTTACCCAGCACACCCACTCTATATTAACTAATATTAATGGGAAAAAGCCACAACAGTGAAAGAAAAGTATGAACATAAGTAAAATGACTTAATCTCACTTAATCTGCAAAAGAAGTTCAATTTAATCAAAAATAATCCATTTCATTAACGCAACAGGAAGGAAATGACATAGGACCTCCAGGACGAGTTAGTAGATTAATTAATGTATTTAATGATTTTCAGCATTTGGGATTACAGTGTGATTAACATTTTTGTGTATCCATCATCAGTACAGCTGTTTAGGAACTAAGCACTGCTTACCTCCCAACCCGGGACGGAGCCTGTTGTCATATCCATCCAACAGCCTGTCTAAGATTCGGGTGAAAATGGTGATGTTGTCTTTACTGTCATCAGGCAACGGCTCTCTGTGTCCAACTACTGCCCTGCAGGGAAAAACAAGGAAAAGAAAGTGGAGTTCAAGAATAACAAAAGCTGTCAGATTTAGCAAAACCACTGATGTGCTGACACTGCGTACAACAGTGTGAAAGCCTGCTGTTTGTTAGTATCTCCCACTGTCTCGACTGGGTGGACTCTCCGTTTTTAGAAAAAGAATACATTTATAGTAATGAGTTGTTTCCCAAAAAGAAAACACTCAGCAGCATTTTGTTAGAGAATTCATCATATGCTATCAACCATTAGTTATTAATTTACACGACCCACAATCCCCAACATAACAATACTGTAGTGAAATGAAAAGGCTACTATATGTGGAACAGTGATGAGTTAATGAGTACCATCTTTAATTAAGTTAAAATCCCCCTGGGAGCTGACCTATAATATAAAAGTAATCCTCGTCAACCACCCCTCCATGCCCACATGCACTCTTCCACATGCAGCCCTTCACACTTCTGTAAGGAAGGAAACGAATCGTGTATATTCCATGAAAGATCCTCAAAGGAAATCCCAGAAAACTGGGAAACTGTGTTTTCTCTTGACTTTCTGTAGCTTAATGCCTGCTAAAATAACAAGTCAATATAAAGAGTCCACTGGAGCTACAGCATTATCCATTAAAACACTTACTGGGTGAAGGTCACCTCTTTAAATGTATGCAATTGTAATTATTATCAGCTCGGGGAGTTAAGGATCTTAAAAATGGCATTCCTACACAAAACGCATCATAATTTTGAGGCATCTGGGCAAAGTACTTCAGTTTAGCTAAGTGGCCATTATGAGGGCATGTGTGGGCAATAAAAAATATCAATTAAGCATCAGGGTTCCTTCGTGTTCTAGCGATTATTCCCTCCTTAATGTAGTGGCACTCGTGTTGTACAATACACCAAGCATAAATGCTTTTAAAGCTTTAAAAAATGATAAAGTGCTGTGTTTATATTAGGCAGGTTGAAATGTGTAAACTCTGCCAGTTATACTTTATTCAGTGTTAAATTAAACATTAAAACCCTCTGGTTTATATAAAGGATACTGTGCTGTCAATATTACAGGGAACTTTGTATTTATATTGATTATGAAGGTAATGTAATGCGGCACAGTTAGCACTTCTTTTACAATGTGTTTTTTATTGCTTCTAACTTTCTTTTATGTTCTGCATTAGTAGAGAAAGATTGACTGTTTACTAATCGATTTCCTAACACTGTACTGGGGGCTGCGTTAAATTGTTGGCGCCTCACAGGGAAAGCATTTGGGTTGGGTGACTTTTACTGTGAAAAGCTAATGAAGCAAGATGGTTATTGCATAAAATGCATGTATGAAATAACATTTTATTTTCTTTTTTGACAGTGGATCAGTTTTAATTATGGACGACAGTAATAGAAGTTTAATGGGGTGAGCTCTTAGATGAAGAGCCGGAGGCGAAAGACGGCACACCTCCACTGTCTGCAAATTACACTTCCAATTATTTGTGATTGACTCTTTGAAACATTGTTTGTTGGACTTCACAGTAAACAGAAACAAGTTGCTCTTGTGTGTTTTAAGTATTTAACTAATCTGAAAGCTGCTCATTTTGAAATAAGAACACTGGGGGCCTTCTACCAGTACATAACTCTCACACAACACTACTGAGAAAAGTACCTGCAGCACTCAGTGATTTGTGTCTTTAATAACATAGCATTCAACATGTGCTGTAAAATCTTCCACTGAGGTCTCATACCATGTCTACAGTTAGGTCCATACTTTGTTTTCTGTTATTTTGAACATCACCAAATGCTGTGTTTCCTCCCTCGAGGCCTTTACTGCAGCTGCCTTCAGTTGCTGCTTGTTTGTGCTTCTTTCGGCCTCCAGTTTTGTATTTAACAGCAGAAAAGCTTTATTGGACTGAGATCAGGTAACTGACTTGGCCACTGAAGAATTTCTCATTTCTTTGCCTTGAGAAACTCTAGGGTTGTTTTTGCAGATTGCTTTGGGTCAGTATCCATTTACAATGTGAAGCCCTGTCAGTTTTACAGCTTCTGGTTGAAAAGTTCATCTTGGTTTTATCTGTCCAAGAAGTTTATTTTTTTCAGAACTTTGAAATGTCTTGTTCGAGAGCTGTTTGAAACCAGTGGTTTCACTTGGGCAGCAAACAGCTTACAGCCAATTGTCCGACTGGTTTTGAGCCTGAGGCTCAAGTAAAAATGGCTCCAATTACTAAACAGTTACTAATTTGTTGTAAACCCTTAAATTAAAGCTGGAAAGTATGCCCTTCAATCACATCTTGGTTGTTTGATTTAAAATTCACTGAGGTTGTGTACAAAAGTTGTGCACCTGGGACTAACTGTATGACCACGACAGGTTCACAGGTTTGGCTGTACCCCCGAGTATTAACAGCACATGCTCAGAAAGTCCCAAGAAAGTCGGAAACTTTCAGAGGGTTCATATCACTTCCCCGGGTGAAAACCTTCCTCAGTTATGAAACTTGTGCTGAAATGCTGCTGGTAATTTTAGCATTCAGGGTGGCAGCAGAGGGACGAGTTGAGACTTCACAATAAAATCAAATAGGGCCCAAAAAAGTTGTCTACCCAGAGGAAATATGTAAAATGGAAGAAATTGCCTCTGCAGCAATCTCCCTTGATGGACTTGTTGATGCCAAGCAGGCGCAAGTACACCGAGTTCACTAAGTGCACGTTTTGTTTGAACAACGACAGTGGTGTTTTTGTGCATTTCTGCTGTAACTGCACAAGATTTTAAAAAAATCATTAATTTTCTTCTCGTTTTGTTGACATGACACAACTGGAATTTCTGTTCGTCTTTTCTTTTCATGCCCTCATAAATGGACACTCTTTTCTATGCTGTATATTAGTTATTGTAACAAAATTGACTCTTCTAGTATGGCTCATCATTTTACCATTAAAAAAATATAAAAAAAGACAAAATCTGATTACAATGGATTTCTTTTTACAACCGCGTCCATCAAAATGACAGAATCAAAACCTAATGCCACCTCTGCACCAAGGTGAACATGGAAAATGGAGAATGCAACTTCCAGAACCGAGGGCAAGTGATAAGACAGATGATGTCAGATGTTTGAGGCTTCGTAACTTGTGAGTGCACTCCACTGAGACCGAGCCTTTTAACTCCAAGCTCACGACTTGAACCCCATCGAGCAGGGCATGGTTTGATATATTCCAACTGTCAAATAAGCACCTACCTCTATAATTATGCTCTGGCAAAAAAATATATTAAAATATGACAGCATAACAGTGTACTCATAAATATTTGAATGAAATAATACTGGATAATTCTGGATTTTCCATTCACGCAACTTATCAAAAATGGACAGGCATGTGTGTTTGAAGTAGCTCAGACACACCGAAAACACCAAAATACAAAAAAAGCTTTTAGAAATGGCTGGGAAGAGTTTAACTGCAATAGGTGATATCTCACTTAACATGAATCATATATCAAACAAAAAGCCTCTGTGGCCTCTCAGACGGCACCGATGGAAATTCAAAAATTAATGAGAACCCCTTAGTCGCTAAGAAACCGTTCGAGCAACATCTGCTGCACAAATATCCACTTCAGAAAAAAAACAAAGCAAATGTGTGGCGTGTAGCATCTGCATGTTTAACTGAAACACACACACTTTCTGTGACACACACACACACAAAAACACACTCTTGTAACCTCTTCCAGTAGGCGCCAGCTGTTTAAATTCACTGATGAGGACTAAAGAAATGGGACATTCCCTCTGTATTTGACATCATTTTTATTGAAACACGGAGGTTTTATAATCGTGCCAGCTGCTGTGTTTCACTCCCTCAACCCCCTTCATTATTCACACCATCTCAACACAAGTGCATGAATCCAATTTTAAAAGAAGCACAAAGAACCAAACAGCCATTATATCTGCACATAACAGGATGTTTGAATTTCAGGGGGGGGGGGAGTTGCAATAGGAGCAAAAAGACCCCCGAAAAAAACAATTACTGCTGTATGTCTTAGTTTCGTGTCAATGCCAAATTTGACAAATACTTTCTTTTATTAAACATTGATATTAGTCATAGGCTCAGCATATAAATACTGTTAATTATTAATGACTTCCAGGATGTCTGATCGCATTATTCTGTGTAGCTACTCTAAAGTTGGACTTTGATGGTTAAAAGTGAATTATGAATATTTGAACATGAGATGAGTGATATTTACCGATGCTGTGTGAAGACAGCCCGGAAAACTATCAGTAAAAGGCCCCAATTCATCATCAGATCAGTTTGCAACAGAATTGTGAGAATTAATTAATTTTCATTAGTGGCTGCAGGAAGACATGGAAAGATTAGTTGGACCTCGTACTTTTTAATTCTTATTGACCATTTTCATATCAAATGAGTGACTAACACAGACTAACACGACATTGAACACAAGTGGCTCGTGTTTTATTTACTGAGGCAGTGACTGTAAATGAAACCGATATGACTGCTCTAAAAAAGGTGCAGTGCGCTAGCGCACCGAGCTTCGGCTTGTATTCTTCTCCAGCCTGAGCAGGTTTAATAATAAGGATAAGTGGAAACAGCTGTGTGTGGGTGTGCAGGACCTTTAAGCTAACAATGGGCCCTTTTTCACAGTGGGTACTTGACTTGTATCTAGGAAGAGCACAGGTGTTACAACTAACTTTAACAATGGCTCTGTTATATCGTGCTGCAGAAAACGGCATGGCAGCAGCAGGAGCCTGAAACAGGAGTAGATAAATGGTATTCAATTCAAAAGGATAACAAACGTCTGTGCTTTGTAGTTCTTTGTTCAATTTGCAAAATTATCCATATGAAAAATGCATTTGAAATTCTCGTTATCCATTTTATTTTCCTGGTTGCTTCACTTCATTTGTAACATCGCCACCTGGTTCTTTGCTTTGTTTTGTCTGTGGGAGTGGACTGTACCAGTTTCCGGGGGTGTCTAAACCCACTAACTTGACGAAAATCTGACGTAATATGTGCATTTGAACACATGTTCATTTATC